TTATATAAACGGCCACACTATTGATACATTATTTGTCTTTGTAATTTAATGTAAATGGTCTTGCTTTTATATTGTTGTATACTTTGTATTCAAACTTAGGACACAAATGTCTGTAAATGTGTTGTTGTTGCACTTTGTTTGAATAACTATTTTAAAATGTTACTTTTTTTGTTGGCATCTGTTGCTGCCAGCCATTAAAATAAATTAATAAACAATTTTTTTTTTCATTATTCTTTACTGTGACGTTCACAGCGAAAGTAAATTTTGCATTTTACTGGAAGCAACATGAAAATATCTATATTTAGCATGAAACAATAGAACAGTTGACACAGGAGCACAGCACTTACTGATGTCCCTGTAAATCTTTAAATTCACTGTGTTTTACACTTTCTATTGCCATTAGTTTGTTCAGTTGTTCATTATTATAACCAAAAATGTGCAGAATTAATCTCATCAGCCTCTGATGCACTTTGTGCTTATCACTAATTAGCATAGCTCAGCATGCTAACATGCTAAATTAGGATGGTAAAATATTGCAAACATTATGCTAAACAACAACATCTTGGCATTGGCATTGTAAGTGGGTTAGCATTGTGACATTAGCATTTAGCTGGAGGCACCTCTGTACCCGCAGAGTACAGCCTGACAGAGCCACTAGCATGACTGCAGCCTCTCACTCTCTTATTAATATGAGTCCTTTTATTTATTTTATAAGTTTATTCACGTATGAAGGAAAGCGGTATAGTGTGAAATCTCCCAGATTTTCCAGGTCAGCTGAAATCCTCGTCAGATTACAATCCTGAGTTATGAAAGATGCACAATGGGATGCCATAACTGGGGATGTGTTTTTTAGTGCCGGTCACTGTGGGCTGCTGTCTGCTCGCTGCTGCATTCAAATAGCATTTTCCCAGTGGTGGCTGTTTAAGCATACAGCATAATAACAGTGAAAGTGTTTGCACTTTACCGAGATGGCTTTAAAGTCTTTGAAAACATCCCCATAAAACAACGGAGCACTAATGGATTGAACTTAGCCTGCTGAGACATCTCTCAGCTGCTCACAGATTGCAAGACTGTATTAAGACCTCACTAAATGGATGGCAAAGTGCATGGATTTGTGATTTAGAGATTCTTTCAAAATTTGATGCGGTTATAGAAACAGATATGCATAATTATGGGCATAATGATTAATTACAGCAGAGCTCTGTTGAGTGCTTTTCAATACATGGGAAATTGTATGTGAGTGACAGTTTTATTGATCACACAGCTCTGAAGATTATAGTCCGTGTAAGTTGCTGTCACTAAGTAATGTATTAAAGTCTGTGGGAAAGGATTGATTTACTGTGTGAAATACCTCTAAATAAGTAGGTGGCAAAATGGTGTATAATAAATAAATAAATCAAGCGACACATGTGTCCTAAATAAAGGAAGAGTTTCTCTCTGTATTTACTGTAACAGTTACAGTCCGTCACGTTCCATATGATTTCTGCTGCACTAAACCTGCATGCATGCACAATAATTTATTCATTTCTCATAACTAGCAGCTGCAGTATGCATGTTGCGCAGGCTTTGTGCATTATACATGTTTTGTGTTTTCATTCTTGCCACCGTAGCACTTACCACTCTGTGACATCAGCTGTTCAACATGAGGAGGAGAACGAGTGTTAGCTGACATCCTCTTACATCTGCGTATCGATCAAGCTGCCGGCTAACATCATGCACCTGTCACACACATGAATTCAACATTTATGTCGTTATTGATTTATTTATGAAGTGCAGCCACTGTATAATCTGACACATTTATGCTTTCATTTGTGAAGAAAAGGGCAGAGCCTTTCTGCTCTTACAGATGTTCAATGAGCCATCGAGGTTCATAGACTCTGTGATCAATAAGCATTTCTCTGGCATGCCAGTCAGTTCGCCACTTTGATCCACACTGAAATATTCTGACAGCTGTTTAAAGAATTGCCATGAAATTTTGTGCAGATGTTCATCATCCTGTCAAGTTTGGTGGACCTTTCATTTTTTTGTCATTGATTTTAGTTAAATATCTCAGTAATTATTGCAAGGATTGCCATTAAATCCAATAAACACTTCAAAGCATTAGTTTTCTATGTCAGAACACAGTAAACCTCAAACGCACAGTGTAAAAGAAAATCTGTTAAAGAAAAAAAAATGAAGTAAATTCATACTTTTTTCTGTGATTTTCTTGGATGTTATCTGTAATTTAACAAAACGGCCAAAAATATTTTTCAATCCGTAAACGACATTTTCCCTCAAATAGCAGTCGTCTGTAAAATAATGTATTGTTTTGTTTCTTTGCTGATCCAAGCACAGTAGAATAAATAAATAATAATTATAAAGTGTAATTCTAGGGTCAAATGTTTAAAAAAAAAAAAGAAGAAGAAGAAGAAGAAAAAAATAGTTATTGATTTGATGTGTACATTATTTACAGTTTTGGCCTCTTTGTTTAAGGTTGAACTTTTTTCTATAATGTTGCTAATTATTACTTGTATTTAAAAAAAACATATGTAATAAAATCTGTAAAGCAACAGGAAGTTATTGTTAAAACTGTTTTAAAAAAATTGATTTTTTTGACTGAATAAATTTATGTTGATTAACACTTTATCACACAGTTCTACCCTTTAGTTTTCCCACAAGCTATGCAGCATTCAGCAGTATCAGCTCAACTCTATTTTTAAGTCTACGTGATAATTACAAAGAAATAAATACTATGACACACAAACTTCTTATTGACTCACAACTTTTTCATCTTTGTTTATATTTTGTGGACATGAGCTCCACTTTTTTCCATCAGGGTCGCACACACTCCCTTGTTTGGATTCAAATTTGATGACTGTGTCTCCACAAACTTTGGGATCTGCTCTAGAATTGAAAACTGTATTTTTTTGTTTGTATTGAAGGACCCGGCGGGGGTGAGGGCTGCCTGTGATGAGAGTAAATATGAGGTTGATGGTGCACATTTTGAGACAGTCTCTCGTGGAAGGCGTTCAGACCATTGCCCTCGGTTGTTTAGATCTCACTTCTGCTCAGCTGGCCGATCGTACTGTGAGGCGGGTGGAAACGGGAATGCTGGAGCTTTGATTTTGAAAAGTTACAGAAATGGTTTGGCACCTGCCGTCCCATTACTCCCAGTCAGAAAGGTGTGACGGGGTTTTAACAAACAAACTCTTTAGGAAACATTCCCTTTAGGTTTGCCACTATTATTCTTACGCTATTTTAAAAATTCCAGCCTGCAGCACATGAAAGAAAACATAAATGCATGAGTCTAAATGTGCCCACGTATTATTTGTGGCCTGTTTTTTTCTTCTTCTTTTTTTTAGCACTGAGTGTTTTCCCCACTTTGATTGATGTCTGCTTCTGCAACCAGCAGCAGTCCCTCGCTGACTTTACATGATAGATGGCCTAAATGTTTAAACTGCCCTTGGCAAGATCCAAACTCTTTCTCGACAATTACTTGGTTGGTTTGTTCTTTCTAATCATAGATATGTCATTCTGTGCCATAATGCTGAACAATAGCCAGCTCCGAGCGTTAGCAGCCAAACTCTTCTCTCTCTCTCTCTCTCTCTCTCTGTCTCTTTCACTTTGCATCCCTGCCCTCTGTTGCTCCCTGCTCTCCCACTCTCTCCCTTTTTCCTCCCTGCATGGGTTATGTGACTCATGCAACACCAAACACTCAAATGCAAGATTAACCGTTTGCCAAAGAAAGCTCAATATTGTGACGTTTCTGTCTTTTCATCACCACGCCGTTCAAACATGTCGCACGGGCCTCTGCTGATATCTCACAGAGGTTCAATCTAACATCTGTGTCTCGGCTTTCCTTGAAAATTAAGGCGGCATTCTTCCTGGCTGGGATGCTTGGTCTCCATGGCAACATCAGGTCCATTATAAGTGCCATAAAGAGCATGCGAGGGAATGTTAAATCACCAGTCTGCCAGTCTCCATCACCTCTCTGGGTTGATTGTGTAACTCACACACCCACGGGAATACCTCCTTTCTCCCTGTTTCTCTTCCACTCTGCTTCTCGCTCCTCTTTCTCTCACACATTTCCCTCTCCTCTCCGTCTCTCTCATACTATCTCTGTTACATACACATGTTAATATGCACACATGGATCAGAAACTGAGTCAAACACTGACCCCTAGTGGGAAAGCCTTGTTAGATCCTCCAAGGATCAGTCCATCTCATATCATCATTTTTTTCAAAAAATTTCAGCTCGACCATCTCTGATTTGAGATAATTGTATTTTTAATTTTTTTTTAAGTTGCCTGTCGACCCACTTTCAACACGTTTTTCCGCACATTGAAATTCGAGGATATGTTTGGACGACATTGTCTGCAGAACTTTTAGAAAGAAAAGCCTGACATTTTTTATATTTTTTTCTTCTTATGTCGTTGATTCTCAATCTGCGATTTTGGACAACTAGATCAAATTTTCTCTGATTGTGGGTGTGGGTAAGCACACATTACCAAAAACAATGATAATGCAAAGGTCAGCTAGGGCTATTTTCCAAACCATATCACAATACGAAGAAGATGATGAAGAAGAAGAAGCCGTGTTAATACAAAATACCTGATTACAAAAATGAAAAGATTTTTTTTTACATTTCATAACTAATTAAGTACATATGACCAGTTGTTCCACAAAAACAAAAATACTGCTAGGTAGTCTGATCTAACTGGATCTGAGTTCTGGAGTTTCAAAGTTCTCCAGATATAACTAATCTGTATACAAATATAACTAAAAAATATATATATACATTTTTTATGAGCTATATTTTTTATATTTGCACTCCATGTTATAGGCATAAACCTATCTAAAGTTTATGATGAAAAAAGTTTCAAGCAAATCCAAGATGGTCAAGCAGAAGGCCCCTGGTGATTTAAGATGGAATAACCTCTAACAAAACTCTCTTAACTCTTGCAGGTTTTTTAGAAAATATACAATTTAATAAGAAAGAAATCTCTCTTATGTGTCATCCAGGTCTTTACTCGCTATGGGAAATGTTACACCTTTAATGCCGGCGGTGATGGACGTCCTCCCCTCATCACCACCAAGGGAGGTATGGGTAATGGACTGGAGCTCATGCTGGACATTCAGCAGGATGAATATCTGCCAGTCTGGGGAGAAACAGGTGAGAGGAGCATCGATCACCAGGCAGATGAGGTTATCTGTCACACTTTAACAGTGTGTGCAGTCATGTGGGCGTTGATACCTCAGAGTATAAAACTCTGTCTGGATTCATTAGTGATCCCACACTCTTTGGCTTTGTCTCACTGCAGATGAAACTTCATTCGAAGCTGGAGTCAAAGTTCAGATCCACAGTCAGGATGAGCCGTCCTTCATTGACCAGCTCGGGTTCGGAGTGGCACCCGGGTTCCAGACATTTGTTTCCTGTCAGGAACAGAGGGTACAAACTGTTGCATGTGTATACCATAATTCTGGCTTATAACAACTGGAGCTTCTTTTTCTTACTTTTGTGCATCAGTTTTATCCATTACGACAACATTAAATCCACCAAAGTCATTACAGACAAACAATATTACATAATCCCTCCAGTGGTCCCAAACCCAGAAATGATCAATGTACTATTGACTAAAAACAGAAACGTATCCACACATCTGAGGAGCTGGAATCAAAGAGTTGTGCTTAAAAAGGACAAAAACTGTTTGGTTACCAGTACATTTCTATCACTTAATTATTTTTTTATTGTCTATGATGCTCAAAATGTTGGCTTTAGCCAATTTTACAAGCAGAACTCCATGAATAGGCTTAGTTTCAGCTCAGTGTTGAGGATTTACAGATTTTCTGTGTTTTAAATAAACACAAATGACATATTTTGGGATTTGGGGCTATTGATTGAATGAAATCAGCCATTTGAAGAATCAGAAACAGGTTTTTTTTACCGACAAATTTTAGTCGCTAAGTTCAATATACCAGTCACAGCTCAGTAGGTCAAAGTTGAATCAAGAAGTTGGTCTGTAAGGTTCGCACCGAAGGAATCAACAAAGTTTTATTCTATTCTATTCTATTCTATTCTATTCTATTATAGTTATGTAATTTTATTTTCCTTTTACTCTCCACAGAAACCTGGTTAACCTCGAGTTTGTTCAAAATCACTCTGTTTGCTTGTGTTTGTTGCCCCTTCTGACTTATTTTTAAGGATGTTTCAGTGTTTACAGGATGCAGCAGTAGCTCTTTATTAGTGATAGCAATGATGCCCAAAACAATGAAAGTCAGATTCATGTTGTTATGAATCATAATTTAAAGTCGCGTCATCTTAAATCTCTTGTCGATTCATGCAGCTCTAGAGTGAGACTCAATGTGGTTTTATTGTTTTGTTCTTGTTTTTCCTGATGATTTATTCCTGTACAGATGGCAGCAGCCTGTTTATTGTTCTTCATTCGCTTTATTTGTCATTTAAACCTTCTCACAATTTTAAAAAAAAGATCACATTGGCCTCATTTTCAGTTTGCACAATCGTTATTTCTCATGTTTGGCTTGGATTAAAAACACTGCTAACAATACTGGTGATGTGTTGTTGCAGCTCATATATCTCCCTCCACCATGGGGAGACTGCAAGGTGACGCCCATGAATTCAGACTTCTTTGATAGTTACAGCATCACAGCCTGTCGCATTGACTGTGAAACGCGCTATCTGGTGGACAACTGCAACTGCCGCATGGTGCACATGCCTGGTAGGACCGCGCTCTTTCTCCGTGTTGTATCAGAGTTACATCAATCACGCTGCAGCACAGAAATTACTGAAGGCACTTCAAAGAGTGGAGGAAAAAAAAAAGGAAAATTAATTGATGTGCATGTGTGTTGCTGCTGCAGGCGATGCACCCTACTGCACCCCCGAGCTGTACAAAGAATGTGCTGACCCAGCTCTCGGTAAGAAAGAGGCTTCATCCACGTCTGAATCTTTAAACAACACATAGACGCACAGCTGTGTTTCCATCACTTCAAAGGACACTACAGTAGCTTACATTCCTTTCCCACTGACGTCATCTGACCTTACTCTGACCTCAAACCAAGTCTTGATTATTAAATTTAATGAATTTTATGATGAGAACTTGCCTTTTGTTCCCAAAAGGAAGGCAGGTCCCCACAGATTTATGTCACGACAGCACAAGACACACATCAGCCCATGACGTCTTTAAGTCACTGATCCAAAGGTCAAGCTGTGCTCTGGGTTTTTTCTCTCCAGATTTCCTGGTGGAAAGAGACAATGATTTCTGTGTGTGTGAGACGCCGTGCAACATGACCAGATACAGCAAAGAGCTGTCCTTTGTCAAGATCCCCAGCAAGGCCTCTGCCAAATATCTAGCAAAGAAATACAACAAATCTGAGCAGTATATTAAGTAAGTATCTGGTATATGTTTGGGTGGATTGTGCAGGAAATTTCCAAGTCTGCAAATTAGAATTATTGCAATATTCATTTATTATTTTCTTGATGATTAATAACTGATTGTCCCAAAAGATGTCAGAAAATCCCCCCCACAAAACAACAGAATTTTCAAAAACCTAATGAGATGTCCACAGATGTCTTATTTTGTCCACCAACAGTCACATAAGAGAAAAGACAGAAAACCCACAACCACGACGCAGTGCTGTTCATGTTTGGAATTTTTTCTTGAAAAATAACTTAAATGATTAATCAGTAATAAAGGAGATGTGCTGAATGACTAATTGGTTAAGTTATAAATGGTTTTAGGTTTGCAGCTTAATAAGGAGCTTCTCAGCTGGAGAACTAAAACAGACTGCTCAGCACAACGACTGATTTGTGGCCTTTAATCGTGCAAACAGATGATCTGTGTCTCTTTGTATGACAACTGGAGTGATTCAGCAGTGCAGTACTGACTGATGAGACTGAACTGATATTTCGTTTGTCAAAAGTTTACTCTAGGTGCAGGGTGGCTTGGTGGTTAGCACTGTTGCCTCGCAGCAAGAAGGTCGCCGGTTCGCGTCCCAGTGAGGATCTTTCTGCGTGGAGTTTGCATGTTCTCCCCATGCAGCGGGGGTTCTCCCACAAGTCCAAAAACGTGTTGAGGTTAATTGGTGATTCTAAATTATCCGTAGGTGTGAATGTGAGTGTGCTTGTTTTTTATGTGTGCAGCCCTGTGATAGACTGGTGACCTGTCCAGGGTGTCCCCTGCCTTCACCCTAAATCAGCTGGGATAGACTTCAGGCCCCCTGCAACCCTAGTGAGGATTAAGCAGTGTATAGATAATGGATGGAAAAGTTTACTCTCAATTTATGTATTTTTGTTTTTTGTTGCACAATAATTATTGTTCTCTCTTATTATTTTCATATCAAAATCAAATCAAATCAGGTTTATTGTCATTTTGCTGTACATACACAGTAGTACAGGCAAGACGAGAGAGCGTTTCTTCAGGATTATTCAACCAGCAAGTTTTGCGGAATGCACGTCTGTAATAAGTCACTAAACGTTCACTGTCGCTGTCTCCTGAAGGGGCCACTGCATCCATGCACGCCGCCATTCATATCTGTTCATATCCTATCCAGTTTGTGAATCTGTTTGAAAAGATTTAGATAAGACAACTTTATTAATTCCTGATCAGGGATATTCACACCTTACAGCAGCCAGATAAGAATGAAGCACATCAAGACAAGAAATACAGAAGTGAAATAAAGATAAACGTAATAGTGGACTATGTACACCTTCCACGTGTGCAGGTATGGCATGATGCAGAACTGTCACCACATTGTAAAACACATGGTGTGTAGAACTGCACATTAAAAGTTATCAAGATAACTTGTTATTGCGCTTGAAAAGTTATGAAGAGAAACTTCATGTTGCTCGCTTAGTGTTGATATTAGTAATATTAAGAGGGTAACAGGAGACATTTTTTCCTTTAAAAAGGGGCAGAAATGAAGTAGCAGAGGCTGAAATAGCTTTATGTCCTAAACTTCCCACAGTTAGAGTTTGAAGAAATGCGCAGCAGTGCATTCAAAATTTGGTTTAAAAAAAATAAACATACACAATTTCAGAACAAAGTCTATGTTCAGATTAAATACTTTAATGTTACAGCTGACCAAACTTTTCTAAAAATGAATATTTCTACACATACATGATAATAACACATAATACGTTCGTGTTTATGATTATATATCACACTCAGTGTTGTTGATAGCATTTGTTTCGCTAATCTGAATCTGCAAAATAACAACTTAAGAGATAAATGTAGTGGAGTAAAAAATAGATTTCTGTGTGACATAAAGGAGTGGAAAACACTCCACGATTGTAACAGATATTCTTTCTCTTGATTCATCAAATCTGAAAACAGTGTGACTTGTTGTCTTTTTCAGAGAAACAATCCATCAAATCGCTTGCCATTATTATTCAGTATGTGTATTTAAATGAAGTAAATGCACTTTTGCACCACTTCCCCTAATGCAACAGGATAGCTGCTTCACCTTCTTTCATCTTCAAACTTGTTGCTTGAGTTTAGATTTCATATTCATGTTTCAGACATAGAGACAGTTAGTCCACAGAAGAAGCAGGGTCTGTCCCACATAGAGGATTTATTTACCCCACAAAGAGATTTTAGATTCATAGATTTAAATTGAGAATACATTTTTTTTAACCAGTTTTGTCGACTGGTGTTTCATCTACTCAAGCAGGAGACATTATCGATTATCAAACATTCAGAAATAAGAGCAAAATGAACAGATTTCTGTCTAAAAAGGTAACTCAGATGTATTCTCTTTACTGTGCGCAGGCTGATCAGGTTTACTGTCGTGTGTTTTGTTTTGTTTTTTCCTTCTGAGTCTTCACCTCTTTGTTTTGTCTCCACAGGGAGAATATCCTGGTTTTAGACATTTTCTTTGAGGCTCTCAACTATGAAACCATTGAACAGAAGAAAGCCTATGAAGTGGCTGGACTTTTAGGTACGGCTTTGTTTCCATTACACACTGTAGATGTTTCTGTTTTTATTGTAGGTGATTGTCAACTCTCAATATTCTCATATTCCAGGTGATATCGGTGGTCAGATGGGTCTATTTATTGGGGCGAGCATACTGACCATTCTTGAGATATTTGACTACCTTTATGAGGTGAGAAAGTGTTTACAGAGAACATTCCTTGTAATAAACTGTAATTTTGTGTGAATGTTGGTGTTGAAGCAGTTTTAAGGGAGCTACAAAATGCCCATGTGCCATTTTATAGTCGTATTCCTCATGTTTTTTAGTATTTATTCATCATGGTGGGAAATGCAACTCACTGAATGTTTAAGGTGGTTAATTAAACTGTAACTGAATACATAAAATGTAAAACATTGTGTGTGGGAGACCTTTTGTCTCTATGTTCTTACTGGCTTCATTGAGACTGTTTTTTTTAATCTCCTCAGGTGATAAAGTACAGGTTGTGTCGCTGCTCCAATAAGAAGCACAAGCACAACAACAACAACGACCAGACGACGGTCCTGAGCTTAGATGACGTCAAGTGTCACGTCAGTAACTTTCACTAGGCTTCTGCAGCCGCGAGCAAGGAGCCGCTGCACTCTCTTGTCTCTGAGCAGCTTCGTGGACTTTGTTCGTTGCAGTTTGCCCAACTGCAGGAACAACGGAGGAGGTGTGTGAACTGTGCCTAATTTTGAGGTTTCGCAAGCCAACGAGGTGAACACAGTCGCGTGGCTGGCGTAAGTGGACGGCCGCACGAGACAGCAGGGCAGCAGAAAACCAGTGATCAACATGTGATGAATTCAAAAAACGTTAGAATAACTGCATGGTCATCTGTAAACACCTTTTTCAAGACATAGTAACAGATACAGCAACCGAGGGCATGAACTAAACACGGGTTCAGCTGTGCGGTGGTGTTTGTCTTCTGTCGGCTGTGACAGAGTTTTTATGTGACATAACCATTCATTTGCAGGAAGTTTTTATCTCTGTTCTGCTTTTCACTTTTACCCTTTTCATGTTTGTTGGCTTTACCCGCTTTTTCACCAACTCTCCACATTCATCTTGAGACTGTCTTCCTTCATTACACTCAGTGCATTCTGCCAGTATACTGTACTACCTCATCTCGTAGGGGCGACGAATAAAGAATTTATGAGCCAAGAAAAACTAACACAAAGGAAATTTTCATGTAGAGAAGCGGGTCGTTTTCACAGAGGCATTTTCCCGTGTCACAGTGGGGAAAACGCATTTTTAACGATGGCTGAGGCACCATCTCGGCTCGATAATGTCATTTGATTTTCCTGCTATTACAAGTAAGAATGTCTGCTGTGGAGAAAAAAAAGGCCTGTTATGGTAAATATCTAGTGTGACAAAGCCACAAGTAGGAAGTCATTAAGTCAAAAACTGACTCAGTATTTTTGCTAACATTACGCACCACAAGCCACAGGTCATATGAGAGCAAGAAAAAAAGAAAAAGGCTGTTGCAGCAAAATCCCTGAATATGCTGAGTTGCCTTTTGAGAAGTCAGCTTATTGGCTTTCTGGCAGACAGTTACATGAGAAGACTGATACGACTCTCATACCTGTATGTTAAATATAAAAGTACAGCCTGTTGTTAGCTCAGTTTAACAGGACCAGGTTTTGTAATAAACCACCAGCTGGAGGGGAAGAAATATTAAGGATTGTTCCCGATCTACATTTCAAAGTTTGTCACAGACGTCCACTTTAGATTTGTTGAAAAAACAAAAGAAACACTGCTCCTTCTGCACTGAACAGCTGATACTAAGAGGAGACGACAGACAGAGTGCAGGAGGACACTGCAGGAAACTGACTCTCACACGATATTAGGCGCAAACATTATGATCCACGCAGGGATAAATCAAACATCCCACTGATGCAGCAAATCCAGGCGTTTGATGTACAGTCAGTAGATGTTCGCTACCAGAATGACAAATTTCACAGTTGCTCCATTACAACGCCAAAACCACAAAATCTACAACAGCAGTTCGTTGTTGGAGTTTTTAGTTTTATGACAGGACAAAGTGAGTGAGTCTCTTTTACATCTGATTCTGTCATAGATTATGTAGAATTGCATGAATCCTCTGTGGCATCACCCACTGGTTGCTGAAAAGCACTTTTGAAGCTCAGTATTTAAGCTTCAGCCATCGAGATCATAGCAGTGACTCCTCCTGACTCGTCGCTAATCCAAAAGTGAGCAAAGAGTTGAAGCATGAGTGGAGCAGAGGTTGATTACAGACTGTCCTATGACAGTACACACCTGTCACTCAAAGCAACCATACCTTTAATTATGAGGAACTTTAAGCCTTAATAGAATTTAAACAGGTGAGTTCTATGAAAATTTATCAGCTGCACCGTTGTCATGAGCAAAGAAATAAGCCTCAGAGACCAGAACAGTTTTTTGTACCAGGCTGTAAACATGTTTATTTCTGCTGTAAGGTTTGACATTTTAACAAGGGGGTCTGTGGGGATTAACTTGCTTTTGGGGCCAGCCTCAAGTGGCCATTTAAGAAACTGCAGCGACTGTCACATCGGCTTTATTTTTCAGCTCAAGGTTGCCAGATGGTTTCAGTGACGTGTGTCAGATAAACGCAGCTCTCTCGTGCTGCTGCTTGTTGAATGCTAAAGTTGAGGAGCATCTTAATACTCACTACACTGCACATAAATAAGGAAACAAACAAACAAATGTTGTTTCATAAAACAAGGCCAGAACAACCATAAGTGAAAGTCCTCGGCACACAACTGTTTGAAATCTGGACACATCAAAGACACAAACAAACTTGACAAATATTAGATTTTTAGTATATGATCATCTTGGCCAAAATAATTCAGAATAACAATATTGTTACCACATCTATAGAAAATTTTAATATATGTTATATGTTGTTTCTATGTTGGAGTGTCACTGGATTATCAGTCATCTAGCAATCGATTATTTGCAGTTTTATCACATGTGTATTATTACCATATTTATACCATATTGCTACACACCTGGATGAATTCATGAGTGGCCGTCTCATTTAGGACACCACAATGTCCAGAGATGGCCCAGAGCTAGTTTAGCACAAAGATGAACTCTATTTAGGCAAGTTTATCTGTATACAACATTCCGTATACAAAACCAATTAAAAGTGATTAATGTTAACGCATTTAAATGTTTAAGAAGAAAAAAATCAATCAAATTTAAATGAAAAGAACAAAAAAAGATCCAATAAAAGCAGAGACAACTTTAAACCACATTTTATAGGGTACATAAAGTGGCACAATCATCAAAGTGGTGTTTCTAAAGAAAATGGAATCCTCTTGACGAAATTGTTTAATCCATATAAAACAAGAGGAAAAACATTAAATCACCCCTTTACAGATAATGCCTTGGCAGTCTCACAGTGACAACGAGACACTAGGAAGGCACTTGACAGAGCCAAGAAATAGTCTGACAGGTAATAAACAAACTGTATACATTATAAGGTGACACTTGAAGGTGCTGATAGGTTTCTCTTGTTTACAGTCTTTATGCTAAGCTGAGCTACCTTCATATTTGAAGCAACACGCATGAGAGCGTTATCAGTCTTCTCATCTAAACCTCTACTAGAAAGCATGTATTTGACTAAATGTTGACTGTCTGCATCAAAACACAAGGAATCATTTGGAAAAACATGCAGTAAATGAGCAAAAGCAAAAGATGGGCAGCAAAAAAATTAATAAATTCTTTCTCAGTGTACAGAAAATCATTTTGATTATTAGTTTTTAGAAGAAAAAGTTGAATTTACGCTTAGATTCAGTCCCTGTAGGTCTCAGTAAAGTATGTTTTGAAGAGTCTAATGCATTCATTTCAAAGAATGTCATACATGTTCACCTGCTGTTCGTACCATTTCAGGGAATTTCCCTTCAGCTGCGTTAACATGGCGATGTTGCATCAATGAGGATGAATATGCTAAATGTGCTTTTCCATCTTGTAGGGCTCTGACTTGCATGTAGCAGTGTACAGCAGGCGTCTTCAGTGTGGTGCATCCACGCTGCAGTCTGAGCCGTCGTCTGTGCCTATGGTTGCAGTATTTAATCGTGCGCCTGTGTGTGGCTGCAAAGTTTTGCCCTGATGTGCAAAAATCAGAGGCTTATGAAGGAAAAATGCTGCCCTCATATCCAAACCGGTGTGTGTCGTATCACATAAACATGGGAGCTCTGGCGGTGCATGTTTCAGAGTTTGTTTGTTTTTTCCCCTCCTGACTGTGTTTACAAAAATCCAACCATTTTATATTCTGTTGCAGTTGATCTATGTGACTCTGAGCTCTGTGTTACTCTCAGCAGGACAAGGAAACTGTATAACGTGTAGCTGTGTAGTCTTACTATCAAGCACAATCATGCCATCAGCTGTAATTTACTGTAAATATCGCAGTGACTGTGGAAAATAATCTTACTGTGTTAGCATAGTCTGGTCTGTCTAATGTTGTACTCGTTGGATTCAGTTTTTCTGTACATATGATTATAGATGGTTTATTTATCAAAAGTATATTTATCAAAGACAATATTAAAGTAAGAGGCTGTTTCTTTTTTGTCAGTATCGCTGCAGTCACAGCTGCCGTCAAAAATAAACAGCCAGATCGTTGTTCGTCTGCTGCATGACGCCATGCATCTCTAAACAAGTCCTCCAGTCGCCATGCTGTGTTTTAGTTTTGGCCTCTACTTTTTAATTTTCATTTGAGATATGAAAGGACGGTTGTTTCAGTCTGGTGATGTATAGGTGAATAATGAGCTCGAAGCTGTTGTTATATTAATGATTAAACGCTAACTTTATGTACCTTTTATTCATGTTGAGTGTTCTGCGTCATCATTTCCTCTCATGTTTTGAGCAGAGCAGGTTAGTAATGGTATGTGTCCACAGGATCCGTCACTTCAGTGCTTCCCATTCATTGTCTGTGTGAGCTGCCCTGCAATGCATTCTGGTGGCTCTCTGTTTGGAGAGATGGAGCATCGCGTTGCAGGCTAATCATTTGCATAAAGTTGATGTCTCTGCTTCTTTATGCAAATGAGGAGTGTCCAACTTTTAAAGTTACCACTATCAATCTAAAGTGAAGATGGATTCGGAAACTTCCTAGCTCGTTTCTCGCCTCATATGTTTTCAGAAACACATTTTGCTGAACTGTTTTTGTAACAATAGTTTCCAAATGGGCCACCATCTTGCTTTTTCAGGTTTGAAATCTAGGAGTAGTCAGCCTTCAAGTGAAGCATCGTCCATGCAGGAGCAGCCAGTGTTTTCACAGCTAAAGAAGGGTGAATCCTGTGTTGCTACCTGTTAAAGAGCACCTGGTAGTCGTCTATTGTTCTATCATTCATGGTGTCCCCAGGATGAACCACAGCGATGGTGGTGATCCTGTGACTCCTCTCGCAGCAGTGTGGGGTTTTTCCTGAAAAGTCTTAACATCCATCCATCAATCATTCATGGTCCCTAGAGGATGACTTCAAATGACTTTGGGGAAAAAAAACCTTTTCATCAAGTGCACCATCAGACCCGTAATTTTATTTCCAACACTTTTTATGAACAGATACCTACAAAA